TTTTGGCAAGCCTAACTTTTATGGTCATCACTGCTGTTTCCTAGATGGGCCTCCTCCTGGCTCACTCATCCCATCACCACACCCTGTTGTCTCTCCTGAAGTTCAGAGCAAATAGGGAGACAGAAATTCTGTAGGAGACACCTTGGGCATAATCCTTCTCCCTTTCTTTCTTCTCTGCTTTCAGCCTACTCCTTCCAGTTTCTTTGGGCAGTGCCAATCCATGTACTTTAGATATCAGCTACTGGGGATAGGGGCATCTCTGTTAGCTACAGAGCACCACCCCAACTCAGACCCTGGGAGAGCAAGCAGGCTGCACTGATGCAGAAACTGCAGCTCAAGGGTCAGATGGGCAGTGGCCACAGGACCTGGCTGATATGTGGGGAGGCTCAGCAGAAGCAGCCCCAGGGCCATTGCTCTCTGGCCAGCACTTGCCATATGTTCCTTTCAGTTGTGTCCTCCTTGATCTAGACACATACTGTACCATGCAAACCCTGTACCTTGGCTCCTCCACTAGTTCTTTTGGCAAGATAGATCTTTCTGTTCCTATCAATACATGGCCATGTGATAGGACTCGATGGAAAGTGAGGTGAGGCCAGTAATTTGACGTGACAGCTGATATTGAGCCTAAACTGCATTTCCTACCGGCCAGGGCTTAGCTTCACAGAGCTTTTAAGAGTATTTTTAGTCCTCAGAAAATAAAACAGAAACTAAACCTGACTGTGTGCTGTCGCCTCTGCATACTCGGCTATTTTTACTTCCGACAGACTCGGCCTGGGTCCAGCTTTTAAAAAAAGCTGGAATTATTTTACTTCCATTAAGAAAAAAACCCGAAAGCCTGATGTTATCAAGTCAGCAAGGGAACATCTGATCCCAAACTTGTCGGCAGACGTCTCTCTGAGGGGCATGTCCGAGAAATGCAGGGAGCTTGAATAGATCAGCAGATCAGCTCTACCACTGCAGAGGCTTGGTGCTGGCACAGACCTCGCTGCAAGAGCACTTGGAACACGAGTGGCACCCACAGGACGCTTAGAAAACTGACATCTCTACCCAGGGCAGGACGGTGAGCTGAGAAATCCCGCACAAGTCCTGCTCCCTGCTAGATCAGAGGGGGCTCAGGCAGGCTGGGAGCTGAGAGTGTGCTGCCAGTGAGCCAAGACTCAGTCCCTGCGCCAGACACCGGGGTCAGCACCTAGGTCAGATGGGGTGCCAGAACTCTTATGCAGGGTCAATCAAAAGATAACAAAATTCAGTGAACATCAGCAACATCAGAACAGGGGAGGAAGAGGAGAGGGATATTTCCAGCACAAATAGCCCTCATTTGGTGAAGAAGCAGCTGATAGAAAGGTAGGTTATCAAGGGATGATACTTCCTAAACTTTGCCCTGTACTGTTGCATGTCACATTGTGTATGTAAGCACTCCTTTCATTACTGTTCTAGCAGCCCCTCCTTGCTGATACTGTGAAGAAAGGAGGTCCAGGAATGCTTATGGTGACAATTCTGTAGGATGGGTGCCTTCTCTCTTGGGAAGTGGCGAGTTGTGATCCATATGAGAAATGGTTATGTCCAGGAGCTGGAAGGCAACTGCTTTTTCTTGCAACTGTCTTGTGACGCCGTGGCACCAAATCCTATGTAAGAGTCTTCAGTATGGACCAGCTGCATCTTGTAAGTGGCCACTGCACCTTGCAGTTAAAGCTCAGGAGGCTGCACGTTTGGTGTGAAATCTACCCTTTGGGTTACAGTGTATGTACCACTCAGCCTTGCTCCAGCCCTCTCTCTCTCATCTCCCTTCTCCTTACACTCTCTCACTTCCATTCATACCTTAGTTTACATACCTCTCAGTTTCTTCTCTGCTTAGTGCTTTCCTTCATGCTGTTTCTCTTGAGTTAACCTACTCTATTTTAATATCCTTTACTGTCCCTTCACAGCCGCATTGTAACCAGATTGCCTATCTTAAAATCAGCCACTGAGGAAATCAAAGTAGAACAGCAGGTATTAACAAGCCACCTGAATACCACAGCTCAGTACCAGGTCCTGATTTTGTGCATGCCCTTCCCTTCCATCTAGGTATGACCCTTTAGGCTGTCAGATCTTTGGGGCAGGGATTCTGCCATGATGCTTATGTCTGGAGTGTCACACTCAGGGACTCAGACTGAAATGCTTTTGTTTGCTATAGCACCTACAGGTTGCTGGACTCAGCAACTAGCACTGGGATGCACTACGTAGGGGTCAGCCTGTTCACCAGCTCTGCAGCTGAGCGATGATGACAGGGTAGGGCAGTGGCTCTGCAAATGCTGGTTGAAAACATTTGCCTCAAGGAGTGTTGCACAGGATGGGGAACAAGAGGAGGACAAACACTTGTTCAAAATTAACAAGCTGAAGTCCTTGGGCAAACAGACCTCTGTCTGCTCAGTGAAGGAAGGAGGGATGGAGGGTAAATCTCTCTGCATCTCTCTTATCTTTTTTTAATGCACTTAACTCCTTTGTGTCTTTATAATCTGATTGAGGGTCCCTAATACTGCTACAACCTGCGCAGCCATCCCTCTGCCAAGCACTGGAAGATGGCATGCTTCTCCTTGGGAGAAAGAAATGAGCTCCTTCCCCATTTCCTCCCTACTCCTCCCAGTCTTCCCTCCCCACTGCTTATCAAACTGCATGGTGAAAGCATCCCGGAGGGCTCTGTATTGGTTTCTCCTGGGCTGAGAATGGCATCTCCTTGCACTGACATCAGGGCCACTGGTGGGGGGGACTGGATTCGTCTATGACCTTTCTTCTAGGAAGGTCCTGGGGAGCTGAGATTAGGGGCTGAATTCCTGCAACCTGTTCTGGATTCCTCCATAATATTTGAACAGACCCTTTTAATTTTCATACCTGGTTGCTTGGTTTACTGACAGTTCCTGAAATTTGTATCTCTCCCTACTCTCCTAGCTTATAGGTAGATGTCATTGATTCAACAGAGAATGGAGTAGAGGTCTTCTTTCTTAGGAAACCACGGTACACTTATAGCAGGAAAGAAATCATGGATGGAAATGAAAGTTTCCTGCTTCGTTCAGGACTTTATTAGTGCTGTTTCTCAGGAATCTCCCTAGATAATCTCAGGTTCGGGATTCCCTTGATGCCCTTTCTGAAATCACTCTCTGGAATACGTTTGGGCTCCCAGGAAGGAGTATTGCCCACAGTGCTACCTGTTGCGATAGGCAACCTTTTCAGAAACAGTAGCATGTAACGATGGAGGAGGATGGTACTTAGGGATGTCAGTGAATTCTTCACACTGGGTGAAAAATAGAAAATGGGGCAGGGGAAGGTAATCACTCAGTTTGATCTGAGTTCACCTATTCAGCTTCGTCTTTTTCTCAATGTCTGCTGGTCTCTCATAGCAGCCACTTGCAGCAGTTCCCTTACTCTGTTGAGCTCCAGGCCTGCTCATTCCTGCTTTTCCTGCTCAGTGGGAGCAGCGGGACTCTTAAAAGGAAGCAGCTACACAGTGTTAACAGCACCATGACTCTACGCCTCTGTCCCCAGACACCACAGTTTATAGGTAATGCAACCTAGACCTCCATGCAGGTGTTGCTACTGCCAGTGAGATTTTGACTGTGAGTGCTGCTGGCCTGGTTGGTGTTGCTGTAGGGATGCTCTTGGTACTGTCTGTAAGTCAAACCGATTTGAATGCTGCAGCCATGAAGAGTATCAGGATCTAGATGGTGTAGCAGGTAATGGTTTCATGCGGTGCAAGCAGGGCTGGTGTGAGTGTACAGTAAAACCTTTCTCTTTCCTGTGTTGTCGTAAGCGAATGGTATTGAAGTGCACAGTATGACAGACCTGTCAGCAGACTGCAGGCTTTTTCAGGTGTACAAGTTGTTCAAAAAGCATCACTTCAATGCTGATTCGGAGTGTTTGCTTTTAGTTGTTTGTGTTTATGTAGTGGATTGATTGCAAAATATTAATGCCTTACTGGGATTAGTAATTGTATCACATAATTGATTCCTGTGAGCAGACTGGATAAACTCATGTGTTTCTAAGGAAGTACTTGCATAGTGTAAATTTATATTTTTATTCTATTTGAATGCTTCTACATTTACCTTGAAAATTTGGTTTTTTTTTTGCAACAGCTTTTTCTCCCAGCAAGACTGTTACCCCAGTTTCACAAGACCAATTACCAGAGATCATATGGCTGGCCAGAAATAACCTACAATTGGACAAATACTTATGGCTCTTTTCACTATTTGTTTTTAACATAGTATGTTGTACTAATACAGCAGTGCAGCTGCTGCTCCTGTTCTATTGATGCTGCTATGGTTCTTTGCATGGTGACAATCACTGATGCTTCCCAGTCACTGGGAACTGTTTTCAATCTGCTGTTTGCAGTTTGATTCACTGTATTTTGAAAGAGTTGAAACAAATTCTTCAGTGACCCCCTACTTCAGCTTTATCGTTGCTTGATTGTAGTAGAGGTTGTTTCTATTTATTTTGGTTCTACTTTTCTTGCAGTTGCCTTACTTGATCAAGGCTGAAACATCTTTGTTGAATTCATAGCTCATAATCTATTTGCTATAGGTCACGTTTTCAAATATAAACACTGAGAGGCCACAGAACATTTAACTCCTCATTTTTAAGAACAATCTAAAAACTTATTTTTATAACTGCAGGTCTGATTGATATTTAAAGGTGCTTTTTTTTTAAGCAAGATCACCTAGAGGGCATTGAAGTCTGAAGCTTTTCATTTGCCCATCCAAACTGATGGTGATTCAAGAGTTTGAATAGGTTAATTTACGTCTTCATTAATGTTTTGAATAAAAGTAATGCTCCCAGCAGCATAGTTAGAGCTGGAGGCAGTCTAGCTGGTATTATTGGGATTGCTGGTTTCAGCTGAGATCTCAAGTGTTTGGGAGAGGGAAGCTCCCCAGGGTGTGGGGAATGTCTTACTTAGCAATTTCTAGCATCTGCATGTCAAGGTTCCCTATGGCACTAAGGAATCATGAGGATTTATCTTATTTTACCTGCAGGTGTTCGTCTGGATCGAGTCCGTGGAGGCCGTCAGAAATACAAAAGGAGACTGGATTCTGAGAGCAGCACTTATCTGAGCTTACAGATCCCTCCCCCAGCTAAAAAACCATGTATGTATTGGTCTTGAATTGAGGTCCTCTGAGCAACCATTAGGTTTCTCTTTATTTGTTTCCCAAAATGTACAGTGGAGCAGTTGTTGCTTCTGATTGCCGTGTTAGTCACCGGCACTGGGATTTTTTTCTAATGATCACAGTGCAGAGGTAAACTAGGTATAGCTGAGGTACAGCCCAGGTACTGTATTCATAAATACCAGACCTTTTCTATGAGATTATGTAAATCCATTTAGTGATACTCTGATCTTTTCCTGTATCCAAGCAATGTTAACAAAACTGGCCCTGTGCTGATTTCTCCCTTCCATACTACCTACCCATAGTTCTCTAAACTTTTCCACAGTCCACCAGCTGCTTATTCATGCCTTCGCTGTCCCTTGTTGGACCTACAAGACAATGGCTGACAACCTTATAGTAGCTTCTTGCTATAGCTTGTCATCCCTGTACAGAGCTGGTTTAAAACAGGCAGATAACAGCCTGTGTATCTGCAGTGAAGTATTCTCCTGTTGTGGACAAAACCATTTCTAAGGTCTTATGGGCTCTATAGTCATGTCTTATCCAAGGAAGGTCCTTCTAGAAAGGGCTGTTATGACACCTTATGTCGTGAGAGATACAACAACTTCTCCTTTGAAAAATGCAGTGACTAAGATCGTCTCCCATTTGCTGGTGGCTGAGCCAGAGAAGATTTATGCCATGCCTGATCCAACCATGCCGGAGAGTGACATCAAAGCCCTGACAACCCTCTGCGACCTGGCAGACAGAGAGCTGGTGGTGATCATTGGCTGGGCTAAGCACATCCCAGGTAAACTGTGGGAATTACAAGGGTGTAAGTATGAGCAGCGAAGGGAGGTATTATTTATCACTGTGCATCAGATTTTTATCTACAGTGATGGGTGGAAATTACTGCTTGTGGTGGGCTCTCATTGGTAACAAACTCCAGTAGGTGCATAAATTTATGACTGTATGTGTGTGTTCCCTGGGATTATGCAGAAGGCTTTGAGATTATATGATAAAGTTCTCTGTTTTACCTGGCATTGTGTGGCACAGCAAAAGCACTTGGGAAACAGGCCTTGGGACGGTATGGTGGGCTTAGTGATTTTGCACTGCTAGGTCTGTTGCATTTGTCGATGAATAAATGTTACAGCAGTGACCAGACTGCTAATGACAAAGCAGATACCTACCCTGCCTGTAGTGGGCATTCTTGCCCAGACTCAGGAAAGCTTTCCTCATACTGGACTCATCACACAACAAGTCCCATTGGGATGCAGGCCATACTCCCTATTTCCAGTGAATCTCCAGGCTTCTGTGCTGACAAATAATGAGGGCAACTTACTTGCAATGTGACTGGCCTCAGAAGACTCACTGACTATATCCAATAAGTGCCTGTATGATTGAGTGACATAGCAAATGTCTCATGCCTGCAGGTAGGATGGACCCAGGCTGAAGGAGCAGACATGGCCCTCAAGGGGGTTCTGGGGACAAAGATTTGATCTGGAAAGGGAAAATTCCCCTCTTTCTCTAGTTCTCTCCCACCCCTGCAAAAACAAAACAAAACAAAGATAGGTTAGATTGGCTTGTGGAAAAGGTTGGCCAGGGAGCTTAGGGGATGTCCTTGAGGTTTACATGGCTGCTTTCCAAAGACTGCTTCAGAAGATTAGTGTGAACAGGTCACTACAGCTATCTCCTGTCTTCTGTCCCACTTTCTTGTGTCAGGAGAGTATCTGAGGCTAAGCCATAGGATCACAGGATTTAACCCATATTGCACATTGTCTGTGTCTTCCACTGCATGGGTTTGTGTTCTCTTGATTTGGTTCTTGGCCTTAAGTTCTTCCTTGTCTGATGAGGCATCTCACGATGAGTGATCAGACAGTTTACATCTCCCATGTATTTTGTTTCTCTTTCTTCGTGGCTCCTCTTTTGGCTTTTTGGTCGCTGCTTCTCTTTCAGAGGGAGCATTTCTCCTGTGAGTCAAGGGTTAGTGGTTTCCTGGGCTAGATGGAACATGGACTATTAATTATGTGGTGGGACTATGAAGTCTGGAAAAACTTCTTCAGGACAGTGTTTCTGAGTAGAGGTTAATCTCAGTGGTGCCCTTCTTACATGAGATCTGCAGTATCTGCAGGGATTATACCCGTCGCTAGTGCCAAAATCCATCTGGGGCTGATTCATCACAAGTGGGGTTACAATGGTGATTAAGGAACTCAGCATGGATTGCTCTACTAACCCAGAACTTGGGGTGTTAACAGGAATGGTTTTAATACAATGCAATTAGCTGTTACAGCTGTCCAGTGAGGTGCTGTTGTATGTTCTAACCTTGGCTGTGTCTGTTCACGCAGCATGCTCTGCTGGAGTTCTCTAGCTTGCAGCTGTGGAATGAGCATGGGATGCTCAGCTCCAAGTTCATACAGAGTTTTCCAGCCTGCCATGGCGATGATATCCCAGAACAGGAGTGTAGTAGAAATTACTCCTGCACTGTTGAAGGGGGTCTTTCTCTCTTTTCTGAAAGGCAGGACATACCTGCCATCATCTCAGCTTGCTTTTTGTATCTTCCTTTCCTGTCAAAGGCCCTGCAACATGGTAATAGCCATCAGCCTGGCACAGTTCAGACCAGCAGCAGTATTATAACAGGACTGTGTGCACAGGAGCTTAGGGATTGTTACACAAGGGAGCAATACTCAGAAACAAACATAATAAAAGACTGTTCATAAAATTGGAACAAAATACTCTGCAGTTCTGAAACAAATATAAAACATACTGAGTTAGGCAGCAAGGGGGCAGAGCAGGGCAGGGCCAGGAGGCTGCCAGGTGTTTAGATTATCCATGCCCTGTACTTCTCCCTTCCCAGGAATTTGAGCAAAACAAAATTGCTTCCTGTGTTCAAAAACTCTTGGAGAGAGGGGGATGGAGAAAAGACCAAGTCACAAATTCCTGCCATATATTCACACTGGAATCAGTAAAAACCAGTGTGATGTTAAAATCATACCAACCCTTCAGGATCCCAGGTGTCAGCACAAACTTGTACCCCACAGTGTTAGCAAATATAATCAGTTAAAGATACTCTTCTATGACAACAAGAAAGCATGATTTAATGGTGTTTAGCAAGTATTATTAGCTCAATAGCCTTATTAACCATTAGCTCAAAAGCCATGCTTAGCCAATGTGGAGTTATCCCCTTCTGTGTGAGGCCCCCTCCCCGCTACCCACCCTCCCCCCTGTGCTAATTGTCTTTGAAGATCTACCTTTTCTTCGTGCTTGCTGCAGGGAGACAAGACTTCTCTCAAGGGGTGACGATGAAGGCTCTCCCAGGGTAGCTGTTGTGCTGTTCTCACTAGGAAGACGATAGTACTAGCACAGAATGAAATATGGCAAGTGGAGTGACAGCAGCTGTGTCTGGAGTGGCCTCAGATCCTATAATTACATCTCCCTTTATTACCTCTGCTAATGGCCCTCCAGGATGACAGAAATGATAATAAATTAACAGATTATGAACTCCACTTGCCACAAATTATGTGACTTTTTTTTTTTTTAATTCTGTGAGCTCCCACTGCCAAACCACGGGAATAAAAAAAAGAAAAAAAGAAAAAAGACAAAAAATAAAACCCCTGAATGTCACATCAGCTATTGCAAATAAAGCAGCTCTTCTCAAACTGGCAAGGAGGGAAACATGCGTGCAGCTCTCTGCTAGATACAGAGTCTCTTCTTTTTGGGAGCCTAGGGATGGCAGTGGAGCATTCATCACCTTTCAGGATCACACCTGAGAAAAGCAGCAAGAAACAGATCGCTGAGGACACTTTCTGGATGCTGTGCCATCAAACAGCTTGGGAACGCAATAGGACTGGATTTTATCAGTCCCTGGGAGCTGTAAGATGGTGCAGCATTTGAGTTTCACTAGAGGTTCTCCAGTCTTATAAACCTGTAATAGCAAGCCTGTGTTTTTGGCCAGGTGAAATTAGCATTTACCTTTCCTGATGTCGAGATTCTTAGTGTGGAAGACTCCAGGTTGTATGGTCTTCCCTTGTCTGTGCTGACTGCAATGATATGGGCACAGTTCTCCAGCCCTTGCATTCTACATGTGTAAACACTGGAGGAAAAGGGTCCCGATTCTGTCAGATGTTTCCAGTCAAGGCTTGGCACTGCAGCGCTCCCTCCTTCATGCCCTCCTGCTGGAGCTGGAGTCCTTGGCTACCTGGGAGTGCTTCTGGCAAAGGGCTTTCCCAGGTGGGTAGGGCAACTGCAGCTGGCTCTTCTGTTCTCCCTGGCACAGGACAAAGCATGGTCTTTCTTCTGCAGTTCCCACCCACCGTAACTGCCTCTGGGAAAGAGTGATTAACAGAGATGCTACTGCGAGGGTTAAATACATTTTCCTACTTTATTCTCTAGCAGATAAAGTGTCAGCCATGTCTGTCGTGGATCTTCTCACTCTATACTACATGACTGTTTCTCAATCTTTAACAAATTTCATTGGCAGAGTGCAGGGAGGCGATGGCATAACCCCTTTTGTAATCCAGATGGAGAATGAAGATGCAGAAAGGCCACGTGGCTGACCCAGAAACTGGACTTCAGGCAGCAGTGTAAATGCTGGGCTGTTCTGCATGGTCAGAGCTAGGAGAAGGGTGACCAAAGGAGAGATTCCAGGTGCTGAAGAGTGACAATGGCTGTGCACAGCACCACTCACCTATCTCAGGGCTGATTTTATCAGTTCCCTTCTGCAGGGAGAAGACCTAGGGAGACAGAATCCCAAGCCTTTGAGCTGTGTCAGCCTACACTTGGACTAGTCAGCAGGGCTACACATACCAGCTCCAGGAGGTAAGGGGCAGAAAGGCAAGGCAAAGGACAAGGCACCCCTGAAGTATTCACAGCCTGAGTAAGGTGTGGTATTCACCAGGTGCAGGACTACATGGAGCACCGGCTGTGCTGTACAAGGATCAGTCTTACAGCCATGGAGCTGGATTTGCGGCTCTTCTCCCTAGGAGCCTGGACGCCTCTTTAGCTGTTCCCTCTGGCTCTCCCCCCCAATGGTTTATTGATTCTTCCCTCCCACCTACTGCTCCCCTCAGACCTTGCACACACAACACGTGACAGCTGATTGGTATCTGTTAATTAATGTGGCCTGGGGCCTCTTTTCTATTCAGTGGCCTGATAAGGGAAATTGGATGTCCAAGGGCTGCCAGGCCATTATCACCCTTTGCTTCCCCTGGCAACACAAACACAAAACATGGCGTAGTGATAAATAAATACCACTAACCCACCCTTCTGCCTTCCCTTCCCCAGCTGAGATAGCAAAGATAGAAAAAAAACCCCACAGTTGGTCAATATAGCAATCATCAGCTCTTTTGTTAATTGCCAACTTGATAACAAGAGAAATCAAATGATCATCATGGTGGCTGGCTATGAAGGCCCTGATGTGGGGCCAAGAACTGTGAGCAGGGAGGGCTGTGGGATGAAGGAGTCCTGCTGAGTCTAGCACACAGACAGTGGGGCTGGGAGGCTCCTGCACAGCGGCTAATGAGTGCGCAGGCCTCTTGGTGAGCCCTGAGGCTCCCTCTGGGGAGAAAACTGGCAGGGGAGGTTGGTGGAACATCTCCCCCCCTCCTTCCACAGCTGAGGGGTGCCTGGTGGTCCTCTTCTCTCACAGCCCTGGGAATCTTTAGATAAAAGGAGCTGCCAAAAGGTGCAGTCCCTGCCTGTCAGTGGTGAGCAGGAGCTGCCTAGATGGGACGAACACACTGTGCTTGAAATCCCTCTCTGTAATGGCTATGGCACAATGCCCATCTCCCAGGATCTTTCATGGTCTGGCCTGCAAGGGTACCTGGTACATAGGATGTAACAGCTTGCTTTCCCACACACTTTATCTTTTTACCCCTGAAGGCAGACAGTGCCCTTGTGTTTCGGCCTCTCCACTTTCTCAAGTGGCCACTGGGGCTGTCAGGGTCTGTCTTGAGACTGTGCTTGCTCTCTCTGTACTTGAGAAGAAAGACTTGCTTCACTGCTGGGTGCTGATTCTGTTGCTGCTAGGTTTATTAGGTCCTTGTATGGCACCATAAAGATATTTTCGACACTGGGTAAGGTGGTTGGCTGTGAGGTGCAGAAAGCTGATGGCGTGGAGCTCAGGGAGTGATGAGGAATAGAAAAAGTTTTTGCTTACGGATTGAATACATTCCAGTGCTCTGTTGTGGCAGGACCTTCTCTCACACTGACCAAATGAGAGATTGTGGTATGCTTGTAATTAAAGCCTCTGTCATTCCCTCCTATCCCATCAGAAGCCTCTGTCATTCCCTCCTACCCCATCGGAAGCCCTCTTTTCTGCCATGTGTAGCTGTTTTCTGCTCTTTGGTCAGCTGGGGCAGATTAAATAGGCTGCAGTACAAAACCACAGAGGAACAGTGAGCAGGACGATGTGGTACAAAACAGTTGCTACTATAAAAGAAGCAGAGATGATTGAAAAGAGGTTGTCGTTAACCTTGGGTTGCCATAAACAGTCTGATCATCAGAACTCTTGTGGGTGGGCATAGGAGCAAAGAGAAGAGTAAGGTCCATGTGTGCTGATTGCCACAGAGACAGGGTCACTTTAATAATCTTTTATAAATTATTTTTGACAGCAGCAGGAGAGTGCTTGGGATGAATCCCAGGGAAACTAAGGACCCCAGGCTCCTTGAGGCTCTGCTTCATACCCATTTGACTGTGTTTGTCGTTTGTCCTTTGCCCTCTCAGGGTTCTCCAACCTCTCCCTTGGGGACCAGATGAGCCTCCTGCAGAGCGCCTGGATGGAAATCCTCATCCTGGGCATTGTGTACCGTTCCCTGCCATATGAAGACAAACTTGTCTATGCTGAGGACTACATCATGGATGAAGAGCACTCTCGCCTGACGGGGCTGCTGGAGCTTTACCTGGCCATCCTACAGCTGGTGCGCCGCTACAAGAAGCTCAAGGTGGAAAAGGAGGAGTTTGTCACACTCAAAGCTCTGGCCCTTGCCAACTCAGGTACAGCCCTAGCCCAGTCACCGTTACAATCAGGGAGTCAAGGCCCACACTGTTATCTAGCCTGGGAGGAAACTAGAGACTGCTGCCTGAGACTGTGCTCTGTCTGTGTCATGCAACATCCTCAAAGCTCCTCTCTGTCTACAGAGCAGGACCTAAGCTGGAGAGCAGAGAGAAATTAGGCTTGTTGCTGCTAGAGCCTAAACTGTGCTCTGGCTCTGTATTAGAGAGTGGAATCAGGCAGGGATGGGGTGGCTGCTGGTTTCTGGCAGTAAAAGAAAGCCTGTGAAGCCCTTCTCCACTAGTGAGCTGATTCCAGTGCCATGAGCTCAGAAAAGGGGATGTAGGACACCCCTGCATCCACTTCAGTAGTGTTCAGTTGGTCAGCTACAGCAAACAGGGAAACCTTGGTCCCAGTTTCGAATCCCACAAAAAGCTGTGGGATTTGGGCTCCCCAGTCCTGTCCTAGAAATGTTCAGTGACCACAGACACTGAATCTCCCTTAAACTGGGAGACAGCGTGGATCTGGATGGTAGAGCATAAGCCTATGTTGCCTATTCTATTTCCTCTTGTGAAGAGGATGAGAAAGGCCAGGGCTCTCCACCGAGTGCCCTCCATCTCAGTCTGGGGAGGGCTGCAGCTCTCAATCTAGCAGGCTGTAGGGGAGACAAGAGGTGCTGGGTACTGCACTGCTGTCGCACAAAGCCAGATAGCTATTTGCTTAGGATTCCCTTCCAAAAGGGAAACTGCTAAAGCTACTGTGTGACGAGGGCTCCCTCTACATCCCCTGAGTCTTATTGTCTCGCATCAGATCTTTCAAACTGCATCATGCAGGTCACAGAATTCACCCTTGCAGCCCAGCAGTGAATCCAGTATCTGTGTTGGCTAAAGCCACCTTCCAGAAACACACCCCGTGTGAAGCTGAAGGGATTAGAAGAGGGGGAATCTCCATCTTTCATGGTAGCTCACTCTAAGAATTAATAGTTTTCTCAGTTAAAAAAAAAAAACAACACACAAAAACCCCCCAAAAAACCCACAGCAAAAAAAAAAAAAAGATTCCTTGGCACCATATTTTTAATGTCACTTTGCCTGAGTTCACCTTCTAGATACTGGTCTTTGTTGAGCCGTGTGCTGTGACCCCCCAGGTCTTCTTCCACCTGACTGCTTGACTCGATAAAGTTGCAGTTCCATAGACACATTCCTTGGCTATAGATACATTACTGCAAGTGTAAGCAAGTGGTCCAGAGTGTGTGCGGCTGCCCTATCCCTACTGTTTTACACCATCCTGATCCTCTTTGCCATCCATACATCTTAGCTGCAGCAATTTAAAAGAAAAAAGAAATTACTTACTACTCTGTCCTGGGTTCAGCAGTAGCAGTCATTTTTCCCCTTCTTGGTAGCTGGTGCAGTGCAGTGTTTTGACTTTCAGCTCGGGAACAGAGCTGATAACAAGCGATGTTTTGGTTTGGCCAAGGACTTTGTGAGCCTCATGCTCTGCCAGGGAGGAGGGGAAGCTGGGAGGAAGCAGAGACAGGACACCTGACCCAAACTGACCAAAGAGGTATTCCATACCACAGCACGTCATGCCCAGGATGTAACTGGGAGTTAGCCGGAAGGGCTGGGAGACGGCAGGGTTGGAGGAGGTATCGGTGAGAGCTTGGTCGGGCTGGGGGGGGCGAGTTATCGGTCGGCTGGTGGTGAGGTGTTGTATTCTCTTCCCTTGTTATTTCCTTTATCATTATTATCATTGGTGGTAGCAGTAGTGATTTGTGTTATACCTTAGTTACTAAACTGTTCTTATCTCAACCCGTGGGAGTTGCATTCTTTTCGATTCTCCTCTCCGTCCCTCCAAGAGCAGGGGGAGGGCAAGAAAGGGGGGGAAGTGAGCGAACGAGTTACCTGACTGGGTTTAAACCACGACAAAATTGATAAAAATGTTGAGTGGCATCTGTTTCTTTCACTGACCCCGTGGATTTCCACTAGAAAACTCCTCCTTCAGGGATGATTCACCATTGATAGCTACTTTGAGATCTGTCATCTAGCCAGTTACTAATCAATTGAAAGTGTGCTTTATTGATACTGCATAGTGCTAATTTTTTAATGAGAATGCCCTGTGGTGCTAAGCCAAGTGCCTTATAAAAGCCTAAGTCTATTACAGCTATGAAGTTAACTTTATCAACCAAACTTGTAATCTCATCAGAGAATGAAAACGTGTTTGTCTGACAAGACCTGTATTCCAAAGTATCGTGTTGACTGTCAGTAGAATCACAGAATCATTCAGAATCATAGAATCACTGAAGTTGGAAAAGACCCTTAAGATCATTGAGTCCATCCATTAACTTAGCACTGCCATGTCTGCCACTAAATCATGTCCCTAAGTGCGTGCCGCATCTCTGTGTCTTTTAAATGCCATTTTATAAGTCTTAATCAAACGTCTGTCTTTTTTTTTTTTCTTTATGTTGCCCTGGTTCACATCAGGCTAGCATGGAAATCATCAGGTAATACCTAGGAGAATATGTACATCATTAGAACTTTTCCAGTCATCTTGAATTGCTTGAAAATACCAAAACTTGTAAATCATTAATCTGCCCTATCTGGGCCTCAGCCAGCAAGTTTAGAACTCTTCAAGCCAAGTTATCCAGCTCTGCTGATTTCTGTGAAGTTTGTACCTAGCAGATGTCTAAATCTTCTTGTATATAGGACAGACTAACAAGTCTTAATCATTTTCATATAGCATTGCTACATAATGCTGCTTTTTTTCTAAATGGGACAGACATCCTCACTGAGGACTTCTGTCTCCTTTGCACTGCTGTTAACGGTTTAATCATCTCCAGGTGAAAGGAGCCACCCTACAAATGGTCATTTTTCTTCTATTTCTTAAGTATTTATAAAACTTCTTTATTGTCCTTAGCCCTCCAGCCATGGATTTTCCTCCAATGTCCTTCACTTCCCTTATCGATTTTCTATACTTCATAAATTCTGATCCATATGAATTGCTATCTAGTTCCCTTTTTCAGTTTCTTATATATTGCTTTTTTAGCTCTAATTGCTGCCTTCACTTTGCCACTGAACCAGGATGGGCAGATGGCCAAGGCTGGCCTCTCTTTGTGGGATGGTAGCTTGTGGTGATGTAATCAACTCTTGTTAAAGGATCTGCCTCCTGTCTAACAGGAAGGTCACAGAATTAAACAGGGAGAAGGACTCCTCAGAGAGGCTGAAGTGCTAAGGTAGTGGTTGTGACAGGATGACAGGGTAAGTAAGTGCCACACCAGGGCATTTATCTGGCCCATGCTAAGGGCAGAGATGCTGCAGAACCTGAGCCTTGGTACTGTCATGTCCTTCACAGTGCAATAGTAGCACTGTCTGCTGATGTTGCTCACTGTGCTTTCAGGATTAAACCTAGGGTAAACCTTAAAGGACAGTCTGTATTGGGAGTGGAGAAACACTAAGCAATGACAGACCAGAACAACCAACATTTGTCAAGTGGTTTGGGGTTCTCCTTCCAGCACTGTGGAAGTAAAGTAGCCAAGGTAATGGTTAGGAGGCACAGGACAATGCATGTTCTCAACTGGATGAGAAAAGCCATTCTGACTTGACTGGATTCTCCTAGTGCATCTGTGTAGGAGTATAATCCACAAAAATCCTGCTTTGTTCCTGCTTTGTTATTTGTATTGAAACATATGAAAGTAAAGCACAAGATCTCATTTTTCACGTAATTAAAGCCTCTCACAACACACACATAAGGGAGCTAGAATAGAGCAAGTGTATTTTTCTAATGTAGCTGTCACATTCAGCCTTCACATTCTTTTAAAATAAGTTATTTTTTTACCATGTTTTTGACATGGAGTACACTTGCAGAGCCTGCATGTATGTGCTTGCATGCAAACAGCTAATTCCTAAAACAGTAGGAATGGAATGCAGACTACCTCTCGGCTCCCTTGGGTCAGAGACACAGTTTAAAGCTGATCACTTACATTAGCACCTGTGCTGCCTAGACCTCCTTTCTGTCTTGCCTCCTATATAAATTCCTGAATTTCCCTTATCCCTGGTGGGTGTAATTGCTTATGCTTCTAGGGACTTTCCTCTCTTCCATGCAGCCCTGTGTGTATTGACCCTTTGTTTCTAGGAATTAAAACAAATGAAAACAGAAGTGGGAGCTTACTTGCTCTTTGCTAGAGGAGAAGCTGACAATAGGCTGACCTTGCCAGAGCTGTGGCTGATCTCCGAGTCCTCAGTGTAATGCACCAAGGACACACCTGCTGGGACACGCAAAGATAATTCAGATGACCTCTGTCTTTAGTAAGTGCATTTTAGAGAGCTGAGAAATGAATTGTTAATGCCCAGACAAGCAGGCAAGTCCCAACAATATGATCACACAATTTTTGACAGAGTAGGGGTGCTATATAAACTGTTACCCTTCAGAGCCAGCAGTCCCTTCCTAGGCATTCCAAGGTCCTTTTTCTTCATGAAACAAATTGATCAACCTGTGTATTGAAGAGCCTCCAGGTTAGCATACAGCACATGTTCATTTAAGGAAATCCCATACCGGCCAAATGTTATTTCCCTTTTTTTTCCCCATGTATTTAAATTCTGAGATGGAGGGAACAAGATCTGCATCTAGCAAGGGGATATGTAGCAAATTCTGTACTAACAGGTCCTGCAACATCCTGGCTCCTCCTGCTCCAGCCAGAAGCTGCAAGAAAAAGAGTTAGGTGAGGAGGCAGTGAGCCTTGTCCATCTCACACCTGCCCTGTACCCCATGTCAGCAGTGTTGGAGAGGGGCTCCTGACATGAAGCCTAACTTTTAGGCCAGCTGACCCTCAGGGACATAGTTGGGCAACCTCCTTCCACCTCAGTGCTCCACCAGCTGTAAAAATTCATAGCTATTGATTTCGTAATTAACAGTTTATCAATGCCATCGACACCAGCTCACTGGTGAATTGCAGGGAAATTAATCCTGCACTGGTATTTTTTGCAGTCAGCTACTGATTCTGAGCTGCTTTCAGCAAAGAGGAGGGAAGTGGGGCAGGCTTTGATCTTTATTTCCCCAATTGCTCTGTGTACATTTAGTTATGTAGTGCTGTTAAGTCTCCTCACCTTACAGAAGTCAGGTGGCAGGAGGGCACAGTTTTGGGATTCTCTTTGCCGTTCAGCTACATCAGTACCCAAAACCAGAGCACCCACTTGGATCTGAAGCTTGGCTCATTGCCAGGTGCTTCTAGCACCACTGGAATCTGCAAACTCTGATGGGCTGTGATTACTTTTTCCCCCACCTGGAAGGACATTAAACAGAAAGACTGGAGGATATTTCTCTCCAAGCTCCAGCTCTTGATACTTCCAGTCTCAAAAATTATCTTTGCAACTTGGCAGGAAACAGGTCCCACTCACTTCTCCTGGATGGTGCATGGAAATTTTCCAGAGATGCTACCTGGCTGGGAGAAGTTGCCAGACTGACTTGGCAACATGCTTCTCCCTCCCTACATTTCAGAATCAAGCTCTGTGGCTAGCTCAGGCCACTGTGATGACCTGCTCTGAACTTCTTTGTCTGATCTCTTGAATGCAAAAAGCAAATGCAGCAAGAACAATCCTTTCTTAGTAGGCTTCTTGGAAATACAACCTTTTAATATACTCTAATTAGTGCATTCTTTCTAAACAGCTTCTTAAACAGCTTTCTTGCTAGACATAATATTTTCCCAACTGTTGTAATACTTTCTAAATTGTGCATGATAAATAGCATTTACTGTACATGTATGAAATTCACAGTATTTGTGTTGCACTCTCCATAGAGATGACACATATCTCTAGAGAGATTTTGATGCTTCGGCCAGCCTTCCTCCCTTTCACTGCTGTCACACTGAGGAGCCCATGTCCTCACATTTGTGTTGTGTGTGTGGCTGAGCCAGAGCACTGCTGCATTGCAAAGTCCAGCTGCAGTGGCAGACAGTGCACGTGCATGTGTGCTTGCCATGGTGGCCCTTTGCTGCTGCCTTTGGATTCATTGTCCCATGGCAGGAAACTTGATCAGTGTGTTCAGTATCAATTAAAAGTCTCTAAACAATGATGACAAGGCAGTAGTGTCTCCAGCTCTGTCAAGGTTGTAAGAAAGATGCAAGTATCAGCGAGATGAAAAGGAAGAAAAGCTTCAGTGACAGTTAGCTTCTCTAATCTAGCCTCTGATCTTTGGTGCTGCCCTCTGTCACTCTGACTTACCTATGAGTTTAGCAACCTGTGTTCAACTTGGGTTTCCCAGTTCAAACCCAGACTGGGTCACCTTTGCCTCAGCGACACACTAAGGAGCTGTGCTAGCCTTGCAAACCCTGCTTGCCCCTCCAGCAGCTTGAAGAAATCTAACTGGCAGCCTAAGGGAAGGGGCCTTGCAAGACGTGTGGGTTTCCTTCAGTGAAGCAGGAAGCTCCCTGAGCAGCTGCTGGCGGTCTTTGAAAACAGCAGCATATGCACAAAGGTGGGGCTGGCAACACCCTTGGGCACACTGGTTGTGACCTACTGGGGCTTTTCTGTCTTGCTGACACCCTGAGCAGCTGCACGGCAATTAGGCCGTTTAGACAGATGAAGCGCTATAGCAGTGTTAATTATTCTTAATGAGATTGCTCCCAAGAGGCAGCACAGCAGCTGCTGCCCCTTGCAGGGTGACTCTGCCCATAAGGAGCATGGAGGGCAAGTGAATGTGCAAGTCACAAAGGCCCCTGGCTGACCCCTGGACAGCTTTGGGGTAGCTGGCAAACTCGGCAGCATGCAGGGCACAATGTGTCACCTACCCCAGCAACCTTACTGTCCCTGCACTGCTGCAGCCAACTCGTTGGGCTGATGCCAAACATCACTGCAGCAGCACCAACACCTGTCAGCAAGGTGCATTTTTTTCCCCCTTAAGAAACAAAACAAAATAAAGCACGCACACACCCAAAAACCCCTCAAACAAACAACAAAAAATCCCACCACCCCAAACCCAAAACAAAACAACAGAAAAGAAAGAGAAGGAAAGAAAGCATCTTTAGCTCCAGGACCATAAAGGATTTCCTTTCTCGTTCCTCATGTCTGAGTTGTCTGTTTGCTGTCTTTTCTTCCACGCCGCAGATTCCATGCACATAGAGGACATGGATGCCGTGCAGAAACTCCAGGACCTTCTCCATGAAGCCCTGCAGGACTACGAGCTGAGTCAGCGCAACGAGGAGCCCCGGCGAGCGGGCAAGCTGCTCCTGACCTTGCCCCTCCTGCGGCAGACAGCCGCCAAAGCTGTGCAGCACTTCTACAGCATCAAACTTCAGGGCAAGGTTCCCATGCATAAACTCTTCCTAGAAATGTTAGAGGCAAAGGTCTGACAGCCCCAGCGCCAGCTGACAGTGGCCGGGGAACAAACAACTAGAAACAAAGATGCAGACAACGGAGCAGTCCAAACAGCAGCAGCAGTCACCGCCGGCTTTTATCTCCAGTCATTTATTATGGAAGAATTATTTAATGTCTATCTGCCAGCGTGACTGCAGAATCTCGTGTACAGAAGGGGGAAACTTTTAATCAGTCACCCGTTTCTCTTGTTTTTGTTTTTCTCTGTGGCAAGTACCAGAATATGCTCTTGCACTTGTTGAGGCGGTCATCGGGGCTCAGCCCCACTGAGCAGTGATGCTCTCGGCACTGTCCAGGCCGCCTGCTCCCCAGCTCCCTCCGCCTGTGCTTGAGGGGGAGTGGGAACAGAAGCAGGAAGAGAGGAAGAATAGAGTCAATATAAACATTATCTGCTGGTGTTGTGAGGGGTCAGATAGAAAGGGAAGCAGCCAGGGTCCTTCTTTTTGTCACCTTTCTGGCTCTTACATAGAACAGATGCTCCTTTGGAGAAGAGCACTGCTGGAACTCTGCTGATCAAAATGGCTGCTCCCAGGCCACCCCTCTAGCAGCAGCTAACACTTGTACATAGAGGCCCCACTTCTTACCGGGAAAGATGCTCCTAACTGTGTAAGATATTCTGCGACCTTGTACAGTGTGTCATTACGCCTGGCTACTCCCTCCCATGTACAATCCCTGCAGGCCCCTGAAGAGGTAGGATATATGTCCCTGAGAGAATGCAAGTCTGCTTTCCCAAATGGCAAGGAAAAAAGAGCCCTATATGATGCCTCAGAGCTGGGTTGACTTGATAATCTCTGCATCCTCTCCTATGTGGTGCTAACTACAATTCTTCTACACTTTTCACCCTATAGTGTATCAAACCTGCCTCTCCAGCTCAGCTGAGTGCCATTTCCCACTTCTTCCAGACAAGGCTTTGTCTGCATGGTTACTGCCCAAGTATAAATGCACCCCAAAACAGAGCTTTCATAGACCTCATTAAAGTGATAGCTTTTTGCCTCCACAGAGACTTAGGCTTATTGCCAAATGCTAGTTAGGAATCAAGGGCACTGCTTTTTTGAGGAGGCAGCTCTTGAGCCTGAGAGATTGCTTTTCTGTGGCAGCCTATGGAAATAAATTAGAGGGTGGCATGAAACCCCTGATATCCCAACTACTGTCTTCCCCTGCCTCATCCCATTGTCCTCAACAGCAGCAAAAGAGCTAGCACAGATGATACCGGGGCCTGGTAAGAGGTTTTCTCGTTGATGGAAAAGCAAATACTTGACCTTAAGGTGGTGGGAGAAGTGGGGGAATATTTATTTACCTGTCTCATGTAACCAGGTTCCTGCTGTCTCCAAGCCCTGGTTAAGATTTGCTGCATTCCCGGTAGCCAGAGGGGAATGTGGGTGACTGCAAAACTGGCTGTTGGCATTCTCTAAGATTTTATTTTCGAGGTCACTTTAGTTTTGACCCAGCCTGAGCTGATGAAACCTGAATGTATTGTCTGTTTTGTGGTCAGTGGCATGGCAGTACCAGTGAGAAAAAGCCTCTGATATACATTCGAGACACCACTAGCTTACTGCCTCTGTTCCCCTCAAGCTTTCCTAGCTATCCCAGAAGAAAGATGGTGTGGCAGAGGAGTAGCTTGCCCCTGGCAGGAAGCCCTCCAAAGCAGGGTTGAGGCATGTGATCAGGGAGGCACTGGGTGCCTGTTTTCTTTTAGAAAACAGTGCGTTCCAGTAGGGCTGTCAGTGCTGCAGAACAGCACCCAGGCTAGCTCAGAGATGAGGGGCGCTAACTGATGCAGACCTTTCAGCTCTTGTAGCCTGGCGCTTGAGTTGGTTCAGTTCCACCTCCTTTGGGTTTTCCTACACTACACAATTGTAGCTACTTTTATTCAATTTGTACTCACTTGTTGAAGGAATTCAGTTTGCTTCAGGCACATTAGTAAACTGAGACCTAAGGAGCAGAAGGCACATGGGAGCTGAGTCTGCTTCCATGATCACAGCAGTAGCAATTATAGAGCTCCCTTATGCTTTGAACAGATACTTGTGTTTCTCTCCCCAGCTGCCTCTGCGAGGGAGCTGGTGAGAAAATGAGAGGCTTTTGGTTGCCTGTATCCATCTGTGACTGAGAGGGACCAAAACAAAATGCACGCCACCACTAGAGAGCCAGCTCGCTATGTGCTGCACTCTGGCAACAATTCTGACTCTGGCAAAAATGCTCTCACAAATGTGCTGGGTTGCACTATCACCTGTAAGTTTGACTCATTTGACCACTGTTGCTTCCCTGCCAAGTCCTACCCAGCTCGCCATCAGCCTACTGTGTCCTGACCTGCTGTGCAAAGATAGCTGTCCCAAAATAGAAGAAAAGATCCTAAAAAGCAATTCTTACTCTATTGGGCCCTGCCTGGAAAGGCCACATACTTACAAAGAAAAAAGGCTCTTCCAGCTTTGTTGTGTTTGGCCCCAGGCCTGCTTTCCAGAATGCGGAGGGAGAACTACCTACTGATACCTACTAAATAATGATAATGAAGAGCTGCAGAGTTAGCTTCGAGCCCACAGAGAATGCTGGCTATTTAGACTAGGGCTGTGGCATGGAGGCAACTCCTGCCTTGGCAGAACAGTATGAAGATACCAAACACTTTTCTTTTTCCAGGACCTTCTTTCTCCAACACAGTTGCATAACCTTGGAGCCCTCCTGGATATCCCCCACTTCTTGAAGATAATATGCCTGGAAATGTTTGCATTGCTTCTCAAATAGGATGGGAACTGAATCAGACAGTAATTATCACACATTAATCTCTTCAAGCAAGGAATGCAAACTCTCCCCCAGGAACTGGGACAGAAACATCTATTTAGATTTAACCCTTAAAAGTCTTGTACTATCTTAAATTGTGAACCAGGTCAGCTCTGTTGGGCCCTTCCACCAGTGCAGGAATCATGCGTATCTCTTCACAGTTAGTTATTCTGATCTGCTGTGCATCACTAATACTATCATGCTGCCACAACTGAGGAGTATGTCCAGCTACACAGCAAGCTGGGCTTGCAGAGGACAGGAACATTGTTGTGTAGTCCTATCAGTGAACTTAGAAGTAGGAAATGGGGTGTCAGCAAATGCTTTGGTCTTTGAATACTCACAGTCTCTTAATACCGGGGGTGTGGAAGTTGAGACATGAACTAGGAAATGGGTTGGTGTTCTTTATGCTGTTCATTTGTAATCTAGGAGTCACAGAGTCAGCACCATATAGCTGTCCTTCTTCATGGTGTAAAAGATAATGGAGCTTGAGCCTTGGGACATAAATGGGCTCTATGACTCAAAGCAAAGCAGAAGAGGTAAGTAAGCGTATCAGTAACAGCTAATAAGCACGAAGCCCATGTCCAGCAACTATGGTAAAGCACCCCCAGCCTCTGATTTGCATGTGTGGATAACAGAAACCACATACCTGTCAGCTGCTACAAAAGGCAATACTTCCCAAGTGACCAGCTCTTCTGTTTCGGGCACATTCTTCTCTGGGAACAGTGGTGTCTGGCCTGTAATGCAAACCAAATTTCATGGGGATCAATTAAAAGAAAAGGTACAATACCACACAGAATTAGGTTTCTGGGGAAACTTGGGCATTACACCTCGCGGCAAAACTGTGAAGCTACAAGAAATGCCCCCCCAGTGATCAGGCCCTTGCAGTATTGCTCGTGCTGGGGCTGGGGGGGGGGGGTGTGTGTGTTCTTTTCTCTTTGCAAACTATGTCATCCTTTTTTTAAAGAAAACCCTAGTACAAATATATAAAATAAAACATGCTGCACCAGAAACATGTAAGCAGCTGTTAGAGGGGAAAGTCATTGAGAAAGACCCTAGAACGTAACTTGTTGAGCTTCTATTACCAATCGGAGCTGAGAGAAAAAGCTTCCACTTTGTATCCACAAGCTATAATCAATCATATGGCCAAAGGCCACTCTGTTGTTCTTGTGGCTGGGTTATATGGAGAAGCCAGAGAAACAGAGGCTGTGAGAATGATGCAGAGAGTTATAGACAGTCAGTGAAGTAAAAAGTAAACCAGTATCTACTTAACTATTATCTGCTCCTAAAGGAAAAAGAGAAGAAGAAAAAAATGTTAAATAAATTGTATTCTTGTGGTACAGGTCATTTCAAACAAAACAGAAATAAAACACAGAATGTAAAAACTAACCCAGGCAGAGTAATGTTTATTGCGTTCAGGAGCTGCTCTGTTCTGTCCCTTGAGGTTCCCCCACCCCACAGAAGAGGCTGGGGTGGGGGAAGGCAGGATTTTGCATGCTGCAGTATGGGAGGAGAGCCCCAGCCCGCTCAGAAGCACTAATCTGGTGTTTGCCCATAGCCAGAAAACAAATTCTCAGCAAGCTCCTCCAATTTTGTAAGATAAGCATTGCTGGGAGCTCATCAGACAGGCAGCATGTTGTCAGCATCTGCCATGGACTGGTCTGTTTTTTCCACTCACCCATTTTCTCCCTACATTCTGCACTTCACTGGTGCAAGGAATAAAGATGAGCTAGTGATGAAAAAGCCTTGAAGTTGTTCCAGTGAAAAACAAAATCTCTAATCATAAAATAGACCACTGGCTGAAACCCAACAGTGACATCATGAGTGTTGCAAGTATTACAGCAGAATCCATTGCTTATAAAGCGGGTGCAAGTGCTGAAGTCATGGCATTTGCTTTGATGGTGGTCAAGCAATGCAGGAGAGCAAGCTCATATCTGCTTCAGAAAGCAGAAGAAACTCACTGTGGTAACTGGGGTAGAGGCATGAGAAACAAGCACCCCAGGACTCTGACTTCTGAGCACAGACAGCGTCACCCCCCATGTAAGCACCACCATCTCCACGTCTCACTTTTAGCCAACACTGAGGTCTTTTTTCCAGGCAGCGGCACTCGTCAGGCAACCAAGAGGTGTCTCAGCCTGCCCTCAGGAGGCGATGGCTGTGAATTAGTGGTGGCCAGTAGGAAAGGCCGTGGGAGAGAAAAGAGCTTGAATGAAAAACCAAGATGAACCACCACAGTAGGACTTTTACCTCAGTTAAATATAGCACAGGGACAGCCACTCTGTGGCTTTGCAAAGGGCAGCAGTTTTGACAATTTTATGTGGCACTGGAGCTACCGGTGTCACGAGATCAGCAAGGGCAGCCAGAGGACTGTGGCGAGCCCGGGCCCCACTGGTGTCTTCAAACACCATTCATGGGACTTAAGGTTTCCTCAGTCCCTTAACTCTGAAGTAGCAGCTGTCTTCCTTACACATCCTGGGCACCCTTCTGCACTGCATAGGTTTTTCAAGGCTTTCCTTACATTCCTTACTATTGTTCACTCACTCACACTGGAAATAGAGGTGGGGGGTGTCCTGATAGTAAGCACACCGAGCATTGGGAGAAACTGAGGGCCACCTGAAATTTCTTCTTACAGAAAAGCTTCACAGGAAATACTAGAAAAATACTCTGTTTTCTCCAATCCAATTAGCTGAAGAGGGAAGGAGGTTTCTTTACTAATCATAGGATCAACTACATTGGAAAAGACCTTTAAGAAGGATCAAGTCCAGCCCTTATCCCAGAGTCCACCACTACACCGTGTCACTACGGGCCTCATCTACAGGTTTTTTAAATGCTACCAGGGACAGTGATTCCACCACTTCCCTGGGAAACCCATTTGGTGAAGAATTTTTTCCTAATATCCAGTATATTACAGCTGCATATATATATTATGTGTATATATATACACATCATATATATGTATATACATATATACATACGTATATGTATATGCATTATTTTACATATATATATGCATGTAATATAATGGTGCAGCTTGAGACCATTACCTCTTGCCCTATCACTTCTTATTTGGGAGATCAGCCACCTCCTGGCTCCATCCTCCTTTCAGGTAGCTGTTGAGAGTAATAATGTCCCCCTTGAGCCTTCACTTCTCCAGGCTAAATAACCCCAGTTCCCTCAGCCATTCCTCACCACACTTGTGCTCCAGACCCTTCACCAGCTTTGTTGCCTTTTTCTGGACCCGCTCCAGCACCTCAGTATCAATCTTGTAGTGAGGGGCCCAGAATTGACCACAGGATTCGTGTGCAGCCTCATCAGTGCCGAGTACAGGGGCACGATCACTGCCCTGGCCCTGCTGGCCACGCTATTGCTGATACAGGCCAGGAAGCTGTTGGCCTTCTTGGCTGCCTGGGAACAAGCTGTTCATGTTCAGCTCCCCCAGGTCCTTTTCTGACGAGCAGTTTTCCAGCCACTCTTCCTCAAGCCTGTAGCGTTGCATGGGATTATTGTGACCCAAAGGCAGGACCCAGCACTTTTTCTTGTTGAACCTAATCAATGTTGAGTTCTCTAAACACATTTCTCTCCCCCAAGATAAAGTCATGTTTAACTGCTGGGATATGTTCTTAAGCTCCAAATGCTAAAATGATTGCAGCAGTTGTCTGTGGCTACCTGAACATGAAATAAAATGAAAACCAACAAGATTTTTCTCTTTCAGGCTAAGGTATCACAGAGGGAATCAAAGCAAACATTAGCTAATGTAGCGAAAACTTCAGTGTTCAACTTCCCAGTACCAGGAAGAGGAGAGGTTGTGCTGTGTGCCTGGCTTTCTTTTGGTTGATAAGAAAATGAACATGAGCCAGCTTCAGTGTGCGCTTGCAGCCCGGAAAGCCAACCGTATCCTGGGCTGCATCAAAAGGAGCATGACCAGCAGGTCAAAGGAGGTGATCCTGCCCCTCTGCTCTCGTGAGACCTCACTTGGAGTAGTGTGTGCAGTTCTGGTGTCCTCAACATAAAAAGGACATGGAACTGTTGGAACAAGTCCAGAGGAGGGCCACGAGGATGATCAGGGGACTGGAGCACCTCCCGTACGGAGACAGGCTGAGGAAGTTGGGGCTGTTCAGCCTGGAGAAGAGAAGGCTGCGTGGAGACCTCATAGCAGCCTTCCAGTATCTGAAGGGGGCCTATAGGGATGCTGGGAAGGGATTCTTCGTTAGGGACTGTAGTGACAGGACAAGGGAGAACGGGTTAAAACTTAAACAGGGGAAGTTTAGATTGGATATAAGGAAGAAGTTCTTTACTGTGAGGGTGGTGAGGCACTGGAATGGGTTGCCCAGGTAAGCTGTGAATGCTCCATCCCTGGCAGTGTTCAAGGCCAGGTTGGACAAAGCCTTGGGTGAGATGGTTTATTGTGAGGTGTCCCTGCCCATGGCAGGGGGGTTGGAACTAGATGATCTTAAGGTCCTTTCCAACCCTAACTATTCTATGATTCTATGATGATTCTTTACAAAGCCCTTCTGTGCCACTGCAATGACCTGAAATGACACTGTGGCAAAACCTGAACATCTCTGCACAGGGAGCAGGATTAGCCCTGCAGTGTGTTGGGGTGGCTGGAAGAGACAGAGGCTGATAAGCGACTGTGAGGAGCTGGGTTTATAAAGCACAAGGATGGTTCGGCAAAACACGACAACCCTGATCCAAAACATTGCTGCCAGCCATTCTCCAACAGCCTTTCTCCAAAAGAACTGCAGCCAGTGAGTCTTTACATTAGTGCTAGTCAGCTCTGAGAGGCCCATCATGCTTCTGGTCCTTGTGTGCTTTCTTCCACAGGGCTTGAGAAGCTAGAAAAGTCTTCAGCTCTGGGAGTAGCAGCAACCAAATAATTGTAAATAGGAGGCAAAATTGTAACTGGCCAAAGGCTCAAGCCATCTTTCATAAGAAAAACTGAGAAGACAACAGGTACCACTGACACATTGCGACTCAGTTGTCACTACTTCACCGAGCCCCTCGTAAATCTAAATAGCCACACGGTGACTGCAACCTTCCCTTGGCAGCACACACAGCACATGCAGAAACAGCTCTACTGCTTCAGACCACAGCCCCATTTAGGCCAGTGCTCCCTCTCTGTTAAAGTGGCTAGCAGCAGATGACCGGAGAGGAACATAAAAACAGGGCAAGGAGGTGTAAGTCTGCCAGTGATTTAAGGATCAAAGACTACCTGAGCTAGAGATGAGGCCTTTGCATTTAACAACCCCAATGATTTTTCTTACGTTAATTTCTCCAGTCCCTTTTTTCAACCACAAGAAGCATTCAGCTCCTGCAGCAATGAGTTTCATGGATCACTGCCCAAAGAAGTATCTCCTTTGCTTGTTCTGAACACGCCATCAAGCTCATCCTATTTATTTCATGCTCCTACAGTTTGTATTAGAAGACAAAACAAACAGTCCCCCGCTCACTTCTCTTTACCATTTACAGTCTTCTAGGTCTTTCAACTTCACTCACAGTCGTTTCTTTTCATGGAAGAAGTATAGCTGCCAGATACTCCTTCCCTGGGTATACAATGCACCAATCAAAGTTAGGAAAATGTGACAATAAGGAAGGCAAATGGCTCCCTTCCACCACATGATCTTGATGCTTTAAAGACAAGTACGAAAACCTAGTACCAATCTAAGATATAGTGACAGATGTAGACCTCTCTTTCTGTAGCTATCTACACACAAACATACACACTCATTACATCTTGTAGTTCTGCATTCACAGCACTACTAGAGATCATATTTACCTTCAAAATAGCTTAGAAACAAGGTATTAGCCTTTTTAACCCATATTTTCCTAACAATAACAACAACAGCAGATTAGAATCCTTCCTTCTTTACATAGATGTGGCCTTTTCCCCAACAGATCATTTTTCTCCCTTTCATCCACCTGAAACAAACAGAGGAAACTAAAAAGGCACCTTGGCCTTTCTCTGATAATATTCCTTTTCTTATAACACAAAGGATTGTTCTAGAAATAAAAGATTTTAATGCATTCCTTGATGTATAAAAGATTTTTTTTTAATGTATTACTTCCTATTACACAATAAGAAACTGATTTCTGTTTAGAAATCCCAGCTTGCTTAATTCAGAAATACCAGGCTTTTCTAAATGATTAAAATCAGCACACTGACCATTCTAAAAAAGTCCCGGAATCAAGTGCATTATTTTGATGAATGAAATTACTTTACATCTTGTTCCCTGATTTCAAGAAACCAGCACTACATTTTCCATGAGCTTTATCATACACTCCTGACGTAACTGCAATTGTTGAATAATAAAAGGCAGGGCACTGATCAGAGAAGGAGAAGCCAGGACAAAGCAAACTGAGATCACTGCCTAAATTGGCAAGAATCAACA